AAAAGTTGCCTAGTTGTAAGACTCATTATGCATCTACTTCATAACTATATTTTTCAATCCTATTTTATATTTGCTTACTTCATAGCTATATTTTTCAATCCTACTTTATATTTGCTTTTTTTTTTTTTTTGAACGGTTACAATTTGGGATAAGGAGAAAGGAATAATTACATGATATTATCATGATTCAAACTTTAATATCAATTAAGATATTAAGTGTACCAATCAATTAGCATACAAGGTTTGGTGCTGCTGTCTGTGTGTATTTTGCTGATTATCTAATGTTAGTCCCAACAATTTAAACCATTGTTCATATTACGTTTTATTTAACTTAAAATTAATCTGTTTGTGATGGTGTTTACACCATAAATTGCAAAATTTAAATTAATGTCACATGTAAAATATTTTTTTTATTGGTTGGAGGAGATGGAGCCATGTCAGATTTGAATTCTGAGCCCCATGACAGATCAACACTTGTGTTGGCAAAAGAGGAGAGGTAAAGATAATTTTTTATGGAGTAATTATCTTCTTGAGACAGAAAAGGATAATGGGAGCTGAAAAATAGGAGAAGATTGCAGTTAAAAAGGGGGTTTTATCTTATAAGAGTACAAGTGGCGAAATCTGCAAGAAGATTAGACCAGGTTAAAGGGTGAGTTGTCCCGTTATCTCAAGAAACCACCCATGATTGAGTAACTGCAAAAAGTGGAAGTTATTGCTGGCACAAGGAGAACAAAATGAAAATTTTTGGAAGGAAGAACACATGGTTAGCCCTACTCAAATATCTGTAAATTTTCAGACTTTATTTTTTCTGCAATCTACTTCCAGATTTCGAATTTCAACACAAATTCCATTAGAATTAGGTTGTTTTTTATCATTCCAATAGAAAAATTAATTCATGTATTCAGTTCAACAATTTCCTTTCATGCAATGAACTTCAATCTTTCAAGTTTATGCAAGGTATTGTTCTCTTTTCATTTGCAATTAATTTAATGATTATGATAAGTAGCATTTTATTCAATGATTACTTATGTGGTGTTTAGATCTCTTTTCAACCTCAAGCATGGTAGTTTAATTACTGTTCATGTTAATTTTAATGTTAATTAAGATGAAGTTTTTAATTATGCAGCACTTTTAATCTTCAAATCTGCCAGTACATAACATTTTAATTTAACAATGAACATGTTTAGTTTAATTTGGGTATAGCTTTTTCTCGTAAATTTACTCTAAATTGCAGGTTATTAGTTCAATTAGGATTTGTTAATTTAAGTCACAGTAGTGTTTAAGTCTTTGGAGTTGTCCAAAGCAGATGTCGTAACCCATTCTGCAGGAAGGTATCCCTCCCTCTTACAAATCTTCTGAAGGCACAAATTTCATTTTAATCTAACGTTTTTCCCGCCATCTGCAACGAGGTTTACTGTGAAGAAAGAGAGGGTCGTTGGGAAAGTTTTTTTTTCTTACTTTCAGCAAAATAAATGGTACGCCCGCATCTAGATTTCATACGTACGAGGCCATTAGAGGATTTTTGGGGAAATAGATGGATTCTTGAATTGAGATTTATTTTCATTTCCATATTGTTACAGGGGTACAATTGGGGAGGAAAAGCGCCTAAAAAGCAAAAAACTTCTTTTAGAGAAGAAAGCATTTAGATGGCTGGGACTAACTTACATTTCACAGTAATTTAGGATTTATAGTGATCAAGAATCCCCCAATTTAGTAAGTCCCCTTACTCCTGTTTTTCATTCATTTTTCTGTTTTTACCTTTTCATGAAAAGCTATTGTTATTTCATAACATATGTTTTACTAATAACACTTTTAGTTGTAGGCAACTTTAAATTTCAAAACCAACGACTTGTTAATTTGAGAGGAAAGAGTTCGATTCTCATTAAATAAGGTATCGAATTTGACTTTTGTAAATGAAGAAACATGTGCTGAGAGAGCTTTTCCCTAATAGAGTCCGACGCGACTCAATTCCAAATTAGTCGAGACTTAATGTAATTACTAGATACTTTAAGGTTAATACAAAAAAAAAAAAAAAAACTTTAAAATTTAAAAAATAGGTGAATCCCTAATGTTGTTCATGTGCTCCTCTCCTCTACTTGGATTAAGAGCATCGGTGCAAGTCTAGAGAACATGTGTACCGTTGGATCCCATTTTGTACACCTTAATCAAATGATCTAGGAAACAAAAGCAAGGCTTATAAATGATATTTTATTTCAGCATCAATATTGTGGGTTTAATTGTGATATATATCATTTTTTAATTGAAAACATTTTATAATTTGAACTATTTTATACTATAAAATATTAAAATAAAAGAGATTTCTTTAATTTGAAAGCTCTCCTTCCACCAAATAATTCTTATTTTATATTGTAAAATAGTTTAAATTATAAAATAATACATTATTTTTTAAGTATCTCCAAAATAAAAATATTAATGATAAAGGGATTTCAACATAACAATAGCACATGAAAGATCAAAAGTTGTTAAAATCATGATAGTATGTTAAAGAAAGTGAATGCCCCGAGCGGAGATTAATGGGAGTCATCT